CTGCGCCACCAGGGAGGCCCTAAGTAGATGCTTTAAATTCTCATCGATTAACTTTAATATCCAGATTACCTCAGGGTCAACTACGTTCTTTTCTTTTGAGTATGAGTCATGTTTTCCTGTTTCTTAATTGTCTAGAAACTTTGAATTATGTACTAGACAGTGTGAATGGTCCATTGTAGACTCTCTGGATTCTGTTGTATTTTTTCCAAAGAATGTTCATTGACTTGTTTGTTTTATCAGGCAGAGAACTCATACTCCTCTCTGGTAGACAGCAACTGAAATAACTATTCATTTTTAATCCTTAATTGAACTACTTAGAGTTCTGATTCACACATGTATAAAGGGACAGCTAGAGCTTTGCACCAGAATTTAGGGCACTTCCTTTGTCTCTTTTCCAAGGTTTTCTTCCTCCTTTTGTAATTGTTATAGTTGCCCCAAACTCCATTTCCTGGTTTTTCAAATCCACAAAACTGCGAATTTCGATCTGATTTTTGTCCAGCTAGATAAAAAAAACTTATCTAGGGTTAATTTTTTTATTCCAAGTGTCAACTCACATTCAGTTTCTGCCTGCTTTTGGTTGTTTTCTGTTGCCTTTATAATGTCAAAGGTTTATAAATCTTAGTCAACAGAAGAATTGATTCAATAGGACCTATTTTGACATTTCTGGGAATAGTACCTCTTCTTTTCTTAATCTGGCATGTAAGAACTCTTTGCCTATCTTAGTCCTAACCTATTTTTCCATTCTTATCTTCTATATAACCATATTTCAACTAAGGTAATGTATCTCTCATCCCTTAGAAAATTTTGTATATTCCTTGGGCCTCCCCGGTGGCGCAGCAGTTGAGCGCTGGGTTGCGAAGCTGCCTGCAACCTCTGCAGCGCGGGTTCGATCCCCGGCTGCTCCCCAGCCACCGGCGGAAGGTCCCGCATGGCGCGCAGACCTCTCCTGCCGCCAGCTGCTCCCCTCAGCAGTGTACTTCGGTCCTTCTGCCTGCTCTGCTCCCTGCTCTGGCTCTGGTGAATTCTCTCACCCTCCTGCGCTTCTGACTGTACCCAGTGCTTATATAAATAAATGTTTAAAAAATAAAATAAATAAACGGGCCTTCTTTTGAAAAAAAAAAAAAAAAGAAAGAAAATTTTGTATATTCCTACCATATCTTTGCTTACATTGCTTCCTTTCTTCCACAATATATGCCATAGTTTCTTTCTGCTGAAATCCTTCCCTTTTCTAAGTGCCAATTTAAGAACTATCTGCCTTTTCCACAAATCCTTTCCTAATCAACTTTGCCCATCCTTACCTCTTAAGGCTTTTTTTAAAAAAAATTATTTATTTATGCATACAAGAACTGGGGTACAGGCCAAAGGTGTGTGTGTTGGGGGGGGGGGAACAGAACGGGCAGACTGACTGAAATACACTGCTGAAGGGAGCAGTGGGTGAGTCAGGAGAGGTCTGCTGTGCCATGTGGGTAGTTCCCTGCCTGGGGATTGAACTCATGCTGCAGTGGCTGTGGATGGCTTCATAGGTTGAGTCTTAACACCTTGCACCACCAGGGAGGCCCTTAGGCTCTTTGAGCTATACCACTAATGGACAGTGAATTATATGCTGCCTTGTTATAGTCACAGAACTGAAAATATGGCACATTTCTTTTCAGTCTAACTAGACTGTACTCACCTTGAGGACACGAACCTTATATTGTTATTTCATTTTTTTCTACAAGCTGAACTCAGTCTTTGATTCTGTATATATTCTGTTTAATAAATTTTTGAAAGACTGAGTCACTCCAAGATTAGTATTCATGTAGCATTCTAGAACATGATCTGGTACTGAATAAACACTAGTATATGCTATCTGTTGTTCCTTTTTTTTTTTTTATTATTTTTTTTTTTTTTATAGAGGCATGTTTTATTTATTTATTTGTTTGTTTGTTTGTTTTGTTTATACATGCACTGAGTACAGTCAGAAGCGCGGGAGGGTGAGAGAATTCACCAGAGCCAGAGCAGGGAGCAGAGCAGGCAGAAGGACCGAAGCACACTGCTGAGGGGAGCAGCGGGCGGCAGGAGAGGTCTGCGCACCATGTGGGACCCTCCTCCAGTGGCCGGGGAGCAGCCGGGGATCGAACCGGCGCCGCAGAGGCCGCGGGCAGCTTCGCAACCCAGCGCTCAACCGCTGCGCCACCGGGGAGGCCCTGTTGTTCCTTTTTTAATCTGAAATCAGTGTAATGATCTCTGCATCTTCCTCTCACTCTACCCTTTGTTGATAATTATTTCTATTCTTAGACTCAAAGACTTATGGAATCTTAGAGCTGGAAAGTATTTGAGGTCATCTGATAAAATTCCTTTATTCTGGTTGATCTCTGGGCTTGATCAGATTCAAGACTGTTTAGTCCTTTCACTGTAACAGGAGTTCTCAACCAAGGGAGCCCCCACTGCAAAGAATTATTTAAAACATCCATAGTGCTAAATTTTGAGATCCTGTGCAGAGAAAAGTTGTCTGCCTTTTATTTAACTTTCATTAGAGGAGACTTGCCTGCTTTTTTGGTGTTTAGTTGTCACAGAAAGTTCTTAATGCCAGATTTATTCTTCATTTTATATTTTCTTCACTTTATATTTTCCATTTTGAGCATAAAATTTAGATAGTTAAAATAGGCAGGAAAGGTACATTTTGCCAAAGAAATTTCCTCATATAGATACCCTTTACAATTGCAAATATATATAAAGATAATTTGAGGGAGCAGTTAGAGGCTTGTAGAGGCTGATTGAATGTCTTAGAAATCATAGTTGTTTTACAACCAGCTCTTTTAGCTTCATATGTAAAGCTGTATCTCTGGGTGAGTGTCAGGATAGAAAATGGGTAAAATGAAAGAAGAAGCTGATTGCTTGTTACCAGCTAGAGTGGTGAGAGGGATAAAAGGCAGCCCTCATTTTGCCTTCCTCTGTAGCTGCTTTGCTCCCTCATTCTTCTTTATTTCTCTACCCCAATCCAAGGCTAGAAATGTACAATGATGACTGCTATTGAATGAGCATTGTTGGGAACACAGGCCTATGGAGAGGTCAGTACAATTCCTCCTCTAGTAAGAGATGCCAGAGTTGTGATCCACTTTTCAAAGTTGCCTGAAGGAAAGTATAAAAATCCCAGTCTGCAGTTTGGAAGAAAATCCCAGCTGTATTGGCTGCTTTTTCATGAGTCTGCAGATCATCCTTTTCTTTCCCTTTATAAATCCTGTTCTCTTCTCTCTGTGGCAGTCACATGAAGATGTCTTGCCTCAGACACTGTTTTTATCCTCATTTAATATTTGCACTTTATTTTTTATTTTATTTTAATTTTTAAATTTTTAAAAGAGATTTATATATTGGTGCATACAAGAACCGGGGCACAGGCTAGAGGCGCGGGGGCTGAGAGGATTCACCAGAGGCAGAGTGGGGAACAGAACAGGCAGATTGACTGAAATACACTGCTGAGGGGAGCAGCGGGCAAGACAGGAGAGGTCTGTTGCGCCATGTGGGTAGCTCCCTGGCTGGGGATGGAACTCATGCTGCAGTGGCTACAGATAGCTTCATAGTGCTGATACTTAACCCCTTGCATCACCAGGGAGGCCCCAATATTTGCACTTTAAAATGCTTCTTTGCTGAATGGAAACTTCAAGGTTCAAGGTAACAGGTAACTTTAACTGTAGTTCAGTGTGTAACTTAGGTGTAAATACAAGTTAATACAAGGCAAGCTTCAGTTCTATTTATGTGTAGTTTGTCTTACCATTCTTTTTACCAAGAAAAGATTAAGGATTACTGACCCTGACTTTTCCACATGTTTGATAGTATATTTAAAGCCTTTCTTTGACTAGTCAATAAAATATATTCCTAGCTTTTTCTCAAATCAGATTTCTAAGATTCTAAACATTTCTCTTCTTTCAATTGGGCCTATTAAAATTTTCCATATGACTTTTCAGATGCCCAAGAGAATTCCTTTGCAGAAACATATCTTTAATACCACATTGAAATCTAACTGCCCTGACTTGTGCATCTTTTGGAAGGCAATCAATTCATTGCTGCTTAGAACCTATACAGTGATCAGAGGCACCCTAAAAGTAGAAAATTAGAAGTTTAAATGATGTAGATGGACTGGATAAGTGAAATAGACAAAAAGAAAATGAATCTTAATTGACTTGACTATGGCTTCACTAAATTAAATAGACACCATGTAGATGCAGTTAGGAATTTTGTTTGAAGATGTTAAAAAAAAAATACATATCTGGGGATATGGTTGATTAAAAGTTAAATGACAGTTAAATATCTTACTTGAGCAATGACTTTTTAAGCATGGCACTACAGCTACTATTTTTATTAATATCTAACTTTCAGTGTACATTTATTATGAACCAACAGTACGCTACACTCTTTACATGACCGTTAACCCAGGAGAAAAAAACAGCATTATAGCAAACAAAGGTAGTCTTTCTGAACACGAAGCAGTAGCCTAGCGGGGACCCATTTTACCAGCTCAGGTGTCAGGCTCCTTGCAGTTCTACCTGTGATGTTTTCACCTGGAAGAAAGTTCTGGTGTCCATATTTGCTGAACCTTGCACATGGAATAAGAGATTTTTCTTAGGATAGGAATAGATACTTGTTAATGTTACAAATAGAATGGGTAAATAATTTTTTTTAATTTGAGGCAAAACATTTACATTTGACTTTTGACTTACATTTAGCATTATTTTAATAACATTTACTAGAGGTCTATACATATGCATAAAAAGAGGTGATAAAAAGTCTGCCCTTTTGGTAGGAAAAATGAACATCATTTCAATATATAATTTTCTAATTTGAACCCACATGTTTGGATACCTGGATTGGACCTTAGTGCATTTAGATAAAACTGTCAAACATTCTCATGTCTGTGAAAGTTTTTTAATAATAACTTAATGCTCTAAAACAGTGACTTTAATATTCTATTGTATGCAAGAATTATATTAAAAATAACAAAAATTACTTTCCTCTTTTTTCAGATGTGTAGTTTTTAACAACAGAGGAGTGGCAGGGGAGAATCTCTTGGTAAGTAAATTTAAATTAATGACAACTTATTTTTAAAAAATCATATGCAGTTTCATAATGAAAAGCATATTAATATTTATTTAAAATAACTTATTATGTAAATAATACAAATTTATTGTGAAAAATATAGACAAGCTAAACAGGAGAAATTTGCAAGATCCGTAATTACAGAAGCAGGGAAATATCCTTAATTTACATTTATCCACACCTTAAATATAAACAAAATATATGTAATGTGTTTCTAGTATTATAAGAATTAAGGTTCTATTTTGTAACTTTTGTATTTGTTATATTTTAATATCAATACATGTTTATCTATATTATTTTAATGTAAAATACATTTCTTTAAAAAGTATACATTTCTTTAAAAGGTATGAAACAAACCACACAATCTTGCTTTTTTTCATTTAAGAAATTTATTTTTGTCATGAAGCCATGTATTTGTGTATTATATGCCTATAGTCAACCAGAGTTTACATAAAGGGAATTTTATATAAATCCTTTTGTTTAAATCAGTTTTATTTCCCTCTAACCTCTGGAGTTTTTGCTAGGATAGGCGTTCTTCTCCCTATTAGAATATCATCTCTATTTGCTGTTAAACCTGTGAGTTGGAATGAGAACTATTCACTCACTGAAACTTTCTTGAAACTTTTCAGCTGTTTGTTCCTCACTACTTCAATAGATCAGAGGTAACTCTATTAGAAGTGAAAGAAACTTTTTGAGGGTGTCACTGATAGAGAAAGATGTTAAGACTCTAAATAATCAAGTCATGCTGAAAATAAAAATTTACAATCATGTCATTAATATCAGAGCTTTATGATTATTTGGAAGGGAGAGGAACTCTTGTACTTTGCTTTCTAGTGGCGTAAGCCTGGAGGAATGTAGATCAATATGATTTCGAAAGCTAAAGTTATAAAGTGTTTATGGTTTTACTCACATACCTCCTAATAAATAGTTTGGCACGAAAGTTCATATTTCCTTATTTGCTCCAGCTCTTTAAGTTTTGTAGACACATAATAGGTACTCTCAAGGGAAAAATGTATTTTTCACTGTCACCTTGGGCCAAGAAAATTGGTTTTAAGCAATTCTTGTCTGCTATGTATCCTTTAGGTGCTTCTAGGTCACAAAGATAGGGAAGACAAGGTCCGAGGCTCTCAAGAAAATGATGTGATACAAAGTAAAGTCCACTAGATCCCATAAAATGAGTGACAAAGATCTATTTATTCAGCAAAGCTGTGTTGTATGTCTATTAAATCGAGACTGTACAAGGCAATAGGGTGAGCAGTGTACACATTATTAGACATAACCCTAACCAGTGAAAGCTTTAACTGTAGTTGCAGGAGAGTGTCAGATACATAAAAATGTATGTAATACAGTACTAAGTATAACATAGGAAGATTTAGGAAAGAACAGAAGGTAGGAATAAACTGTCTGAGGGAGTTAGAAAAATATAGTGGAGGCAGTGTTGGATGTTGAACTCTGTGTTATTGAACCAAGAGTAGAGAAAGTTTTCAACATAAAGAACAAGGTATTAAAGGGCATGGAATAGCAAGTACTTATTGTGGAGGGATGATCATAATGACATTTTTGTCTAATGTTTATTCAGTCCTTAGGTTGTCTCAGTTATGTCTTTTCTTAATTACCAGCAATAGAAATAAGCCTTGGCTTAGGTAAGCATAAGCACCATCGTTCCCATTATACAGATGAAGAAAATAAGGCATAAATAGGTTAAGAACTATTCTAGCCAAAAATTGAGAGCAAGGGTTCAGACCCAGGTAGTTTGACTATGTACTTATGTTCTTGACCTTCATGCTATTTTCTCTCTCGTTATTTAGAGGTGACAGAAAATCTTCTAGAGGGGATAGGGACAAATTTTGAAAAGACGTGTGTATAATCCCAAGGAACCTAGTATCAAACCATCAACTTTTAAAGAAAGTTAGCTTTATTGATATATAATTGACATATAAAATAATTTTACTGTGGTCATGTTTTAGAAAGAGGACCATGGCAGCAGTATATAAAAGAGATAAAGGGGAGGAATCTAAAAGCTGGGAAACAAATTAGGAAGCATTTAATACAGATCTACCCAGAATTTGAAAGAAGATGTAGGAGGAAGGGGGAGGAGAGGACAAAAACAAGGGGTATCCATGAAGTAGGAAGAATCGTGTTATTTGTATTGTGGGAAGTGAGGATAGGAGAGATCAAAGTGGATATTTCTATCTTGACTGATTGGTAAAAGATGCTGATATTTGCCAAATAGGAAATTTTTTTTTTAATTTACAAGATTTTGGTGAGATAAAAATAACAAGTTCAGTGTTAGATGTTTAGGGTACTTTTTGATGATTCAAGTGGAAATTTCTAGTAGTTGAGTATACTAGACTGGGCCTCAGGATCGCGGTAAGGGATTATCTGCACAAGTGGAACTCGGAGCACAGGGGTAGCTGAGATTACTTAGGGAGGGTTTGTAATGGGGAGAGGTCTATGGACAGCATCTTAGTCACAACAAGTAGGAAGGAGGAAAGAAAAAGAGGCAGAAGCAATTTGAAAAGTCTTCTACTCTTAGCATTTAATTAATTGGAAATTGAAAGAATGGAGTAACCCAGAATCTCATCCATAAACTTTAATTGGATTTTTGAAAAACCTCCAAGAACACATTGAATTCTTATGAAGAGATGGTGCATACATAAGCTTTTTTTTTTTAAGATTTATGTATTTGTGCATACAAGAGCTGGGGCTCAGGCCAGAGGTGCAAGGGGGTGAAAGAATTCAACAGAGACAGAGTGGGGAGCAGAACAGGCAGATCCACCGAAATACACTGCTGAGGGGAGCAGCTGCGGAGACGGGAGAAGTCTGCTGTGCCATATGGGTCGCCTCCCTGGCCAGGGATTGAACTTGTGCTGCAGTGGTTGTGGATAGCTTCATAGTGCTGCATCTTAACCCCTTGCACCACCAGGGAGGCCCCATAAGCTTTTTTTTTTAATTGTTTGAAAGAATTTGCTGAATTGTAAGCAAGAGGATGAGTGGCTTGGACTCTGGGATCCTACACTGTACACTAGGTTGAATTCTGATGAACTAGTAGTCCCAGAAAATATCTGTATCATAAAGGCTAATGTGGGCCTCCCTGGTGGTGCAAGGGGTTAAGACGCAACCTATGAGCAGTCCACAGTCTCTGCAGCATGAGTTCCACACCCCAGCCTGCCAGGGAGCGATCCATATGGCGCAGCAGACCTTTCCTGACTCGCCCATTGCTCCCCTCAGCAGTGTATTTCTGTCAGTCTGCCTATTCTGCTCCCCACTGTCTCTGGTAAATCCTCTCAACCCCCACACCTCTGGCCTGTACCCCAGCTCTTGTATGTATGAATAAATAAATCTTTAAAAAATAATAAAATAAAGGCTAATTGATATAATTTCAAAAAAAACCCAAGAATATAAAAATGACCAAAATGTAATTTTAATTATATCCATTAGTAGAACTATTGTTCTAAAAGGAAATTTAAGGTAGTAAATTAATTATAATTTATATATACTACTTATACCTTAATGGATCACAAAAATGAGATACCAATAGTGATTATTAGAGCTAGCTCTGATATTTAGATCCCTTGATAATCCTTTTCTTCCTGCCTTAGAGCTATAAACAATTATTTCAGACTAGAGGAACTCTATGTTTATTTATACCTCACCTTGTTCCAGAAAGAATTTAATGGAATCAGACTCAGAGTAAGTAAGAGTTTAGGATAGGCATAAAAGGAACAAAAGATGAATCAGCAAAAATCAAACTAGAAAGAACTGTCTCTAACTGCAATTAGCCCAAAAAAGCTAGCAAAGGTATACTGGAATTTAAGGTCAGCAGTTCTCTTAGGACTAGAAATGCAAAAGTGAAAGGTCTGGTGTAGCATGTTGGCAATATACTTAGCATTTATAGGGATACTATAGCTTTTGCAAAGGGGAATAAGAAAGTAGAAATTTTCCACCACTGTATTGTTTTCATTTCCAATTAGTCATTGCAAGATTGAGAGAAAGCCAAAAGCCTTGCTTACTAAGAAATGAGAAAACTGCACCTCAGCCTTCCTGAGGGTGTTAGCTGTAGGAAACAGATCATCCTAGTCTCAGTAGACTGATCCTCAGATATTCCTGCAGGGTTCTTGGAGCCCTAGGACTACATGGTACTTTTTTTTGCTCTCTGCAGATTAGTTTTCAAAGATAAGAATCAAGGAATGCAAGTTTTATGCCAACTCCCTGAAATTATTGATTACTTTGTGAAGTAGCAAGTGTCCAACTTCATCAAGGATACTAACTTAAAAAGAACTCAGCTAAAATTGAGTTTGTTGAAAGCTACATAGTGACCTCTTTCCCTTTTGGTTATAGGATCATACAGAATTCTGTAACTCTAGACCCAACAGGAAAACCTTCCTAGTCACTTTGGAAAACTGTCTGGCAGTCAAAAACTCAAACATAAAGTTATATGACCTAAGTATGTCACTCCTAGGTGTATATCCAAGAGAAAGAAAGTTATTTGTTTACTTTTTTACACAATATTTATTGCTACATTATTCATAATAACCAGAAGGTAGAAAGAACCCATATGTCTGTCAGTGGGCAAATAGATAAATAAAAGGTGGCATATCCATAATGAAGAATATTATTCAGCATTAAAAAAAGAAATGAGGGCCTCCCCTGGTGGTGCAGGCGGTTGAGCGCCACCCTGTGAAGCTGTCCGCAGCCTCTGCAGCACTGGTTCCATCCCAGCCGGCAGGAGAGGGTCCCACATGGCATGGCAGACCTCTCCTGTCGCCCCCGCTGCTCCCCTCAGCAGTGTATTTCATCAGTCTGCCTGTTCTGTTCCCCACTCTGTCTCTGGTGAATCCTCTCACCCTCCTGCACCTCTGGTCTGTACCCCGGTTCTTGTATAAATAAATAAATCTTAAAAAAAAAAAAAGAAATGAAGTACTGATGCATGCTATAACATGGACAAACCTTGAAAACATTATAGTTTTCTC